GAAATGCCTCATGGAGTGGAAACCCATCAACGGCAGAATGATGACAGTGAGACTGAAGGGAAAGCACACCAACACAAGCATCATCCAATGTTAAGCTCTTTCTAACGACAGTGAAGATAAAAGCAGGGACTATTTTTATGAACAGCTACAGAAGGAATTGACAGATATACCTCGTCACGACCTTATCGTTGTAATGGGCGATCTGAATGCTAAAGTACGGGAGGACAACACCAATTATGAGAGAACGATGGGACAATATGGTACGGGTACAAGAAATGAGAACGGGGAAAGACTAGTGGACTTCTGCGCATTGAACAACTTGGTGATAGGCGGAACCCTTTTCCCACACCGTACAATCCACAAACTGACCTGGAATTCTCCAAATGGCCGGGACAAGAACCAGATTGACCACCTTTTGAAAGGAGGAATGTGGAGACGTTCCCTGCAGAATGAAAGTCAGAAGAGGAGCAGATGTCGGCAGCGATCACCATAATTTAGTGACGGCAAAAATAAAACTCAAGCTGAAGAAAACGTTAAGCAGGGAGGCGACAAAGACACGGTTTAATGTTCACAAGCTCAGTGATGGCAATGTGAGATCTGCCTACCGACTAGAACTAAAGAACAGATTTCAAGCTCTACAAGACCTGGAAGAAACCACCCCCAATACAGATGAAGTCAATACCCAATGGAAGCATATTGTTGAGGCCTACACAGAGAGCAGCAAGACATGTCTTGGTATCAAGAAAAAGAATGCAAGCAAAGAATGGATACAGCAAGGAACTTGGAATACTATTGAAGAACGGATAGAAATCAAGAAAAGACAGCTTGCAGCTAGGTCGATACGGCTACAGGAAAAGTACGCAGAGGATTACAAGGAAGCTTGTCAGGAAGTTAAAAGACTGGTCAGGAAGGACAAAAGAGAAGCCATTGAAAAGTTGGTAACTGAGGCAGAGAAGGCAGCTGCTAACTGTGAACAAGGCAACGTATACAAGCTCACAAGAATAATATGTGGCAAGTACCACGATGGAATGGGTGGACCAATCAAAGACAAGGCTGGCAAGCTGCTGACAATCGAGAAGAACAAGAAGCACGTTGGACAGAACACTTCAGGGAAGTCCTAAACCAACCTCCACCTGAGGATACCCAAGACATACAGGAAGCCACCTTGGATCTGGATATCAGCTCTGACCCACCACAGAAACACGAGATTGTAAAAGCTGTTAAGAGCCTGAAATCAAGAAAATCTCCAGGAATGGACAACCTGAACGCTGAATTGTTTAAAGTAGACCCAGAACTGACTGCCACCATTCTTCATCCACTCTTCAAAACCATATGGGAGGGAGAGCAGATTCCTGAGGACTGGAGCACTGGAGTCATTGTTAAAGTACCAAAGAAAGGAGCTCTTAGAGACTGCAACAACTGGAGAGGTATCACGTTGCTATCAGTTCCCCCGGATGTCGGATGCCGTGGACAGCTGCTTAAGAAAAGAACAGGCAGGATTCCGCAAAGAAAGAAGATGCACATACCAAACATTTGCCCTCCGCAACATAATAGAACAGTGTACGGAATGGCAGAGACAACTTTATGCCAACTTCGTTGATTTTGAAAAAGCATTCGACAGTGTGCAGAGAGAAAGTCTTTGGTACATTCTACGATATTATGGAATCCCTTGCAATATAGTAGAGGTCATCAAGAGCGTCTACCAAAACTTCAAGTGCGTTGTTGGAAACAGTACCACTGCTTTTGAGGTAAAGACAGAAGTTAGACAAGGATGCAACATGTCAGCAATTCTGTTCAACCTGGCCATTGACTGGGTCATGAGGAAAACAACAGAGGATACATCAAGAGGCATAAGGTGGACCCTCTTCTCCACCCTCGAGGATCTTGACTTTGCCGACGACCTTGCACTACTCTCCCATACCAACCAGCACATGCAGGAAAAAACAAACCGACTCCACAAATTATACGGACGCCAGATTGGGTTAAGAATAAGCCAGAAGAAGACAGAAGTGATGACACTGAATGTAGGCTCCCCAACGCTGATTTGGGTGAACAACACAGACCTCCCTATAACAGACACATTTACCTACCTAGGCAGCATAATCAAAACTGACGGCGGCACAAAGGAAGACACCATGAACAGACTCGGCAAGGCAAGATCTGTACACAGAAGCATGATCAACATCTGGAAGTCAGGACAATTTAGCATACAAACCAAGTTAAAGCTGTATAACAGCTGTGTACTATCCACACTCCTATATGGAGCTGAATGCTGGAGGATGACTGATCATGACCGTGCCAAGCTATCTTCCTTTCATACAACCAGCTTACGTCAAATCCTCAGAATCTTCTGGCCTGAGAAGATCTCCAACGCAGATCTGTTACGTAAATGTAAACAAGAGGACATGACTACCATAATAAAAGGGAGAAGATGGAGATGGATTGGACATGTTCTGCGAAGAGAAACAGACTCTATTGTGAAGACTACACTCCACTGGACACCCGGAGGACGTCGCAAAAGGGGCAGACCCAAATTTAAGTAACCTGGAGACGCACAGTAGAGTCTGAAATGAAGTCCTGGAATCATTCGTGGGGAACGATGACCAAGATGGCCCAAAACAGACAGAGCTGGAGATCCTTTAACGTTGCTGCCCTAAACGCCAGATGGCGTAATGGGTAGTAAGTAAGTAAGTAAGTAAGTAAGTTGTAAGAAAATGAATTAAATTTCCTTGTGACAACTGTGACTTCCCAGGCTTAGTTTAGAAATGCAGCACTTGACATCGCCAAACAACTGAATACACATGAGTTTGTTTTTCACCTTGTACATGCAATTTCTTACTCTTCGCCTTGTGCGAATCGTGATGAGTCTGTCAAAGCTTTGACGAATGCCAGAGAGTCTTTGATTATAACATTATTCAATCTGAGTAGTAAACTTGGCATCGAGGCCTAGATCTAGATCTATATCATGATCGACACACCAATCAAATTTGTTCTCCCAGAGTCGTAGGCCTATTATAATAGTATACAGTATACAGAGATATAGTAAGACCATAATAAGATTGTCTTTCGAGTTAGGTCTTGTTTCAGCTTGGTTTTCGCTGTTTGCCCTTTTTCGGACTGTTTTGTTTGTTTTGTTGCCTTTGTAAAAATGTCTTGTTCTAATTTTAGTCAGCAGTTGTAACTTTTGGTGAAGAAGCCCAGGTGAGACAGCAAACCAAACTCCACCTCACGTTACACCTCCTCTCGCGCCGATGAAAAACTTTTGTTCGGGCCGCCGGGATATATATTTTTTTTTTATAAAGGTTGCAAGGGCCGGTGCGTGGGTTTTTTTTGTGTGTTTTTTGTTTTTCTTTTTTTGGTAAGTGTCTTACGGCGCTCGCAACTGAATTTAAGATCGAATGAGCGCGCGGGACACACCAAACAGTTTCAGTTGGAATGATGAACTTTTGAATTTTGTCAGGGTGGCAGCCGAAGCCTATACTCTCTCAATTTTGGACCACCAAGGGATCTTGTAACTTGCACACGGGACCTCCGAGAAGGCTACGTGTAGATCTTTCCTACCATAATATGTAAGATCAGGGGTGTACTAGCTGAAAGACAGCTAGAGAAGGAGCCAAGGAGAAGCAGTAGAAAGGCTGCAGAAAGAGTCCGGAGCCTAGAGGAGGGGGCAAAGGAGGTAAGGGGGTGGGGGCAGAAAGTGGATACGAAAGCAGACGACATAATATTGTTAGAGAGCAGGACAGGATGTGAAAGGAGACAATTTTGAAGAAGAAAAATTTCCCTCGCTATCCGGATTCAAACCCGGACCTATTAAATGAGAGGCGAACACATTATGATAACCTCAAGGCCATGAGTTTGCTCCTCTCAAAGAAGGACATAACATCTCATTCTAGGCTGCACTTCGATCAGAAAAGGGGTGACTTGATATTACATAGGCCTTAACTTTAAAGTATTAGGCCTATATGTATATATGATTATGGTTAAACTTAAACATCATAAAAATAAATTTGATGGTGTGCAAGTCTGGTTCTTAACTCTAATCAGTACGGTTCTAACCGTGATCATAGTACATCTCAGTTTGGGTCACTAATTACTGGCCTTACACC